TGGATATTCGTGTATATATCCACATTTTCTTGACCTCGGCACTAACTGGAGGTGAATGGTCAGCTTCACGCGCCGGCCGCTTTACCCACGGGGAAAGAGCCCATGGTACTCATTGGATAGGAGGTTAGATGGACCCCCAGAGTCGGTCTGGACGAAGTGGAGAAGAGAAAATTCTCGACCCTCGGCCGTCCAGCCCGTAGCCAGTCGCCATACCGACTACACTGTCCCGGCTCCTGCTGTAATATATTGACAACTGATAATCATGGCTGTGCGACAGATAGCTGTATCAAACGTCGTTTATCACGATTAAAGTTTCCAGTCCATGCTACTACTAAACCAATCTCATAAACAAGCGAAAAGAGCATACAGATTGTGGCTGAGATATATGTGAAGGAATTTAATTAAATATTTTGAATACGTAAATTTGCAGAGTTTTTACCACTTTACGGAAGCAGACCTCTGTTAGATCGAACATTTACCTGAATTACAAAGAAATTCACGAAACTGCAGTAAAAATATGCCATCTATATTAATGGAATTATTTATAGTTTACTTGCGGACTAAAGGCCACGTTCTTTGTTTGTTTTATTAATATCACCCAGTTGGCAGAAGTTAATTTCTTCCGTCTGCTTTACATTACGAATCAGTTAAGCTCACAGTTGTCACCCAAATGGAAACATAGAATTACATAAATGTCGTTTTAATTGATTAGCTCATAACTCAAAATCAAACAGTACTTTCTTGATGCAAATTCATTCAGCTAGACAATGAAAAATGGCTGTACGGATGGACTTTATGTTTAGTACGAAGGAAGCAATGTGATAAACTATCGAATGACGGAAGGAGATAAATACAGAATGTTCGTACAAGGTTCATACAATTTAAATTTTTTATACCAAGGTATGTATTATAGCTATACAGTTTTAACTAGAACCATTTACATACCCTGAAGGTGCTCAATGCGAGCTCCATTCCTGACCCCACAAATATCCATTCTCCAATCCAGCTCATTCCATTCTCTCTCTGACATGTTCCTGTCGACTGTCTCGACAGCTCAACTTGAATTCATCAATATCCAGTGGTAGAGTGGCACAAACTCTTGTTCCTTCACATAACCCCACAGAAAGAAGTGACATATCCCACTGAACACTGGCTCACAAATTTGTGTCCGCTACTCAGTCAAGCTAAAACTCTTCTCGATAGGAGACGTCATTTCTGAAAATTGCGAAGCCAGGAGGTAAATATAGGTAATATGGGGATACAACGCCAATTTTGAAATCTCAGAGAATTTGACTTTCCTCTAATACCGGTAATATTTGCGGGGGCACGCGGTAGCGTAGTTGGTTGAGGCACTATGCTGCAAGCCGGAAGGTCGCGGGTTCAAGTCCCTTTGAGGTCACTGGATTTTTTCAATTGATCTAACCCTTCCGGCCGCACTATGGCCCTGGGGTCGACTCAGCCTCTAACAGAAATGAGTACCAGGAATTAATTAAATAATTTTCTTGGGGAGTAAAGCGCGGCCGGCGCGTAAGGCTGACAACCTTACCGCCATCTTCGAGCCGATTGTCTAGATAATGTGGGGTCTTCAACGTCTCGCAACTCTATGGGCCTTCACGGTCTGTTACAGGGATAGCTTTAATTTCTTTTTTACTTACTTACCTGTTATATTTCTGTATGCATTGTAGTTTCCTCACATTTTATCCCCGAAATTTTATCAATCATTTACGAACACCATGTATATCAGACATTTTCATTTGGTTCAAAAAGCACACACAATAAGTTTAAAGTCATTTTTTAATAATACGAAGCGTTAATATAGCGAAAACGCGACTGAGTCGAAGAATGTTCGAAAAATCGAGAATGGTGCAGTAGTAGAAATTTTGAGAAAGGCCATTAACCCACTGGTATCAGTGTAATGTACACATATGTTTGGTTGTATTCTCTGTACAGATGTGATATCTGTGAGAAAGAAGCGCTGCAAGTTCTTGTAGCCTATTGGCTCATGACTGATTCTCTTTCTGTCTCAAAGAATTATTTCCAAACAGCGAACCTCTCGAAGCACCAAACTCTTAGTCGGGGAAACACAGATCTCATAATAACCACACGTATAGTTAACGCCTTCTCACATGTATACAGGTTTTCCAACAGATCACAAAAACAGTCACCGTCTTCTTCTTCGGAATCTTATTTGTATTGTATCTCAAATAAATGCATTTATTATGCATGCGTTCTTTTATTGGTGGGAAAGCCAGAAGGGAAGAGACCACTAGGAAGACCAAGATGTAGATGGGCGAACAATATTAAAATGGATCTTAGGGAGATAAGATGGGATGTTATGGATTGGACTGATCTGGCTCAAGATAGGGACGAGTGGAGGGCTCTTGTGAACATGGTAATGAACTTTCGGGCTCCATAAAATGCTGGGAAGCTCTTGAGTAGCTGCAGGTTTGGCTTCTCCTCAAGAAGGGCTCAGCTCCATAAGTAAGTAAAGTTAGTAAGTAATTATGCATTCTTTACAAACAGTAAACAAAATTAATATATTGAGGAAAGGTCATTTCCACTCATTCATTTTGTGCCTACTTGCAGCCAACATCTTCAGTGCAACAATTACTCTTTTCTTTGGTGTATTGCAAAATGACCTTCGGGTACCATAAAATACTGGGAAGTTCTTGAGTAGCTGCACAATTGGCAGCTTCTCAAGAAGGGCTCAGCTCCATGAGTGAATGAGTATACGGCAAAATGTTTGGAACACAATCGACCATCAGGTGAACATACTCTTGATAAACTTGTTGCACCCTCGTTTCATGTGTCAAATATGAACGCTCTGTTATTTTTAATTTAAAAACTTTATAACTTTATATACACATATGAAAGACAAAAATAAGTGTTGCATTTAAGACGGTGATTACACGTTATGTACAAAAGGTAACAATACTAATGCAACAGAATGCTGGAATACATTATTCTGCTCGCTCGCCCATCCGCTTATATCATTTCCGAAACTACTGAACAGATTTCGATTAAATTTGTTTTAAAGTTATTGGGAAAATTTGATTTTGGTTCCTATTAGTCCATTATAACTTTTCTTTTACGCGAAGTTAGCAGACACAGGTTACAAGCTGGTCGCCTCATCTGCTAATGAATTGCTTCGCATGATCTTGGAACGTGAAGATGGACGCGGTGTAGTCCTCCGAAACGCAGGGCTCTCTCCGAACTGTACGACGTTACAAACCAGAAAACCGTACTCTTCTTTATAGAAATTTGTTTTCAAATGTCGACCTACCGCATAAAATAGGCGTATGACACAAAATGTAGATCCTGTTGGAATGCACAGAAACTATTTGAGACATCCTTCAGTATGATGAAGATTTAAGTAAATACAAGAAAAAATAATTTCTGCCTTCGTAGCGTTACAATAGGTCTGCAGCAACAGCATATTGAACCGAACAAGCTGGATCAAACCTTAGCACTTTTGACATATTCGGCAGGTACATGGTTCGAATCGCGGTAGCGTAGTTGGTTGAGGGGCTATGTTACAAACCGGAAGGTCGCGGGTTCAAGTCCCTTTGAGGTCACTGGATTTTTTCAATTGATCTAACCCTTCCGGCCGCACTATGGCCCTGGGGTCGACTCAGCCTCTAACAGAAATGAGTACCAGGAATTAATTAAATAATTTTCCTGGGGAATAAAGCGCGGCCGGCGCGTAGGGCTGACAACCTTACCGCCATCTTTGAGCCGGTTGCCTAGATGATGTGGGAGCCTCAACGTCTCACAACCCTATGGGCCTTCACGGCCTGTTACAGGGATAGCTTTACTTTACTTTACTTTTACAGGGTTCGCATATCGCAGGAACACACGTATCTTGACTGAAGCTTTCGTGGTTTTCCTCGGATCCTCTAGGAGCATGCTGGGATTGTTTCAAATTAGGTCGCTGCCGCTTCTTTCCAATTTATTATGTACTGAATATCATTCGCTGTTACGCAGTCTGAACTACTGACAGCATCACTAAATAAACCTTAAATAAATTACATTGTTTGTAATAGTAATAAGCCGGGTTAGCACAGTAGGTATAGCGACTGGCTACGGCTGGACGACTGAGGGGTCGGAGTTCGAGTCTCAATAAGATCAAGAATTTTCTCTTCTCCATGTCGTCCAGACATGCTCTGGGGCCCACCCAGCCTCCTATCCAATGGGTACCGGGGGTAAAGCGGCCAGGACATGAAGCTGACCACTCATCTCCAACTAGTGCTCAGGTCAAGAAGATGTGGGTCTATACATCCACTCCCCCATACGCCTTCATGGCGTAATGCTTAATTACTTAAGTACAGGGACAAATTTGCCTTTACCTATTAAGACCAATATTGTATGCATGCAAAATACCAAAGAGCACATTTGGAGAATATATATATATAACAGAGTTTAAATTAATGCATACGCTGCAAATCTCTTGTTAATTCCTGAACGCTCTCTCGAACGAAGCTCTAGTACCTTAGGAAGTCCTAGCTATCGTTACTAGCAATGACACATAGAGGAACGAATTGCCGAACTTGCACTGTAATAACATGCTTTGTAATGTACATGTACGATATGTTTACCTTTCTCCCAGACTTTTCTGGACATCTAAAGTGGTCATCCAGTTCCGAATAGTCATTACCACTATCTATATCTCTCTATCCATGTTGCTCCCTCTGGAGCATAAGGCATCCATGAAACACTTCATTTCACTTCAGTTTCTTAATCTTAGACGATCTTAGACAGTCGGTAGTACTCCTTGGACGAGTGATCAGCCTGTCGCAAGGCGCTACCTACACAGGACAACACAAACATAGTATAAACGCAAACATCCATGCCTTTTGTGCGATTCGAACCCACGATCCCAGTGTCAGAGATAACGAAGACGGTTCATGCCTTAGACCGTGACTGACAGACATTTTCACTGCTGATATAAATCACATTTCCATCCTGGTGTTAAGTACATCTCTGTTTTCTTTATGTTGCAGTCTACGCTTGCTGATCCATGTGGATGTAATCAGACAAATTCAAACAAACGACGTGCTTATAGCGCGTTGTTGTGTCGACAGAACAACAGACACATGTCGTTACAACAGCAACAACTTCAGCGTCAGCAGCATGTATATCAGTTGCAACGCCGCAACAGCAACTCAGGCGACCTTCAGCAACCACTCCCTATACAGTTACTCCCTAACAAGGGACAACACGAATCAGCAATGAACCAGGCACATCAGCAATTCAGAAGACACAATTCTGGAGACAGTGGAGATCAAAGTATCACGCCGAAGGAACGCAGACTTCATGGCCAACCAGTGGAATCGTGTTTGGATGTTATGGCGTCTAATTCATATCCCATGTATGTGCATCGCCCTAGAGGATCGTCGAACTCTAGCCAAACAACTACAACTACGTCACTGGGTAAACTCAGTTTAAATGGAGGAAACAACTGCCGTTCCGATTCAGCCCTAGCGGCTAGTGATGAAACTACAGTACGGGGTGGCGCAGTGACGAGTAATGGGCATTGCAGAAAACAATTGAAATTAGATCTAATAGTTATTAATGGCCGCAAGATGAAGACATGTGACGTTACAAGTGAAGACGTGGAGGGTATAAATAACGTTACTTGTCAGGGAAAGTGTAAACAAATGTGTGATGGTAACTGCTTGGGTCAGCGCAGTGGTAACAGCATAGCAGCTATAACCAAGAGGTTAAAATCTGCGCCACGTCCGGCGGCAATCGGTGTGTTGGCTAAGAAACTTCGCTCTCTCTCCTTGCCCGGTAACACAAAGAGCATATTCGCCCCGCAACAGAACGCGCGTGAAGACATTCAGGAACCACCAAGTCATGTCAGTACCGAGAGCGCTAAAAGCACAATTAGCGACTCGAGCCTTCAGGACCTGGACGAGACGGAGTTCGTGGGTTCAGAGCTGGCTCGTTACATGGGAGAACTCAACCAACAGAAACTAGTGCGCTGAAGTATTCTAGAAACCGAATTTAAACAGACGTTGCAAATATCCGGGGTCAATTTGCAATCTGTTTTCTGATACCTGAAACTGATAGTAACTCTTTCGAGAGATTTGTTCTCAAATAATTTCAATTTAAACAGAATATATGGATTTTTTTTTCGTCTAGAATAAAGAAAATAGTGGTACTTCGGACAATCTTCTCTCGGATAAGCCCAGAATAAAATACACCTTACCGTTGGATTAAACTATTACAACTGTGACATGTGTTGTTTCGCTCTATACTCGTGTTTTGTTAACAGATATATAGATCATCCAGTAATTCTAAACATACGCTAATCGTCCAGTGTTTATTAATGGTGAAATTAATTTATTAAATATGCAGACGGTTCCATAATTTCTTGGAAATATTGAGAAAGGCTATTTCTTGATGAGATCGAGTAAAATACGTTGTATGAACATATGTCCCAAAATATTTTATTTCTGAAATATATAGCAATGTTAATATTTGTGTAGAATTAGCACCCTTATCGAGGAATGCATAAGGAACTTTATCTCAAGATATTCAGAAACTATGGTGAGGCGGCGGACAGAAGCGCCATGGAAATGACGTTCAGACTTTCTTCTTCCTGTCTTCTGTTCTGTCTCCTCTCTACTCCGCTCTATCCTACGTCAACCATCCAAAGTGCATGTTGCTAGCGGAAGTTATCACTACCAACATTCCTGTGAACAGATTTGCTATACGCCTGAAAGGAAATGTAGGAAAGAACTTTAGAAAGGGGGAGCCGGGATAGCGTAGTCACTACAGCGACTGGCTACTGGGTGGAAGACCGAGGGTTCGGAGTTAAAAGTCCGAGCACGGTCAAGGATTTTCTCCTCTCCACGTCGTCCAGGCCGACTCTGAGGCCCACCCAGCCTCCTATCCAATAGGCACTGGGGGCTTCCTCCCCCGGGGGTAAAGCGGCCGAGGCGTGAAGCTGATCACTCATCTCCAACTAGTGTCGAGATCAAGAAAATGTGGATGTATAGACATCCACTCCCCCATGCGCCTTCATGGCGTAGTGCTTAATTAGCTAAGAACAGGGACAAATTTACTTTCAACTTTTTTACCTTATCTGAGAAGGGGACGCGTAACAGCTCAGGGAAACCACTTCTTTCCAACGCCTCAGTAAAATTTATTTTATTTCAGTGCCTCGGCATATGTACCAGTACGGCTGTGCAGTAAGGACAAGAGGGCCGCGCCATAGCTCAAGCGGTTCGTCGCTGGCTTCCCACCGCGATCCCGGGTCTGGTCAAGTGGGATTTGTGGTGGACAAAGTGGCGAGTACTTCGGTTTCCCTTGCCCATCTTCATTCCACCAAATTCTCCATCATCATAATCACCAGGGGCAGGCTACAATAGGCCAATCAGTGGCCGCCGTGCCGAGTGGACCCAGTTGGACTCCAACCCCCCACTAAGCGAATTAAAAAATATTTAAGAACAAGAGAACGCGCAAAGTATTTCAGAGTAACACGACCTTTGTGTACATATCTTGTACTCTACTGCACAAGTCATCATTTCTGCTGCGTAAATTTTTCTTCATATGGGCGCAGACGTGAAATTCAGTTTAATTTGTTGCCGAGCAACATGGCTTCTCACCCTATCGAATTCTCATGTTACTTATCTCTACAGAACCTAGAACTTATATGTTGTGGGGCGGTGAATGAGCTACTCCGCCTAATTGAAACAAATAGAAATCGACGTTCCCATAGCAACAAATTTCTCGATAACTGATAGTCTTGCTACTCTATATGCTCCCCCCCCCCAGTCACTGAGTAGAGCAATCAAGTTACGGGGGCTGAGACGGAAGGGGCATGTAGCACCCTTGATCTAATTGAGAAATTCATATGAGACCACTTGGAAGACCTAGTTGTAGATGTGAAGATAATTTAAAATGGATCTTATGCGAATATGATTTGACGGCGCGTGCTGGATTCATCTGGTTTAGGTTAGGTCTACAGGAGGGCGCCTATAAAATATGCAATAAAATTCCCTTTTCATTGCCCTTGTTACAGGTCTAATTTATTTTATAATTCACGAAAATTTGAATTTCAAGTAAAGGCTCTCAACGGAATTTGAGAGTTGCCCATTCTATAAAAATATGGATTCTTCTCCCCCATAATTTCCCTTCAGCTGTTGGTAAGTTTGTAATTACAGTTATGTCCATATATTCTTCATAATTATTTTATTTCTGTACTGAATAAATACGGTAATATAGTTAGAATAATTTTATTTCCGTGCCAATGATGACGTCCGTTTCTTAAATAGGCTCCGATTGCAATAGTTCATTTCGAATGAACTGTCAAAACTATTGATGTTGTGGAACACTCTCATACCTGTATGTTGGCAGTGCTCTCAACTGGTTCATGTACTCTGCAGCGATTTGCATGCGTGGAAACGTATCATACGATGTACTGCCGAGTACTAGGCGAAACTACGAGAGAACTAGAATGTAGCTGGAGAATTTTGTCCTGATCCCTTTTTGTTTTATTGCTAGTAGGGTGGGACTAAGTCCCTTGTACTGCGGCCACTTCTGGCCTCTTGTACCAGCCCCACATGATAGGTGATTGTGACTGTGGAGCAATTGGTGGAATGAAGATTGGCAGGGGAAACCGAAGTTCTTGGAGAAAACCTTCCCCAACGCCACTTTGTCCACCACAAATCCCACTTGACTAGACCCTGGATCGAACCCGGGCCGCCACTGTGGGAAGCCAGCGACTAACCGGTTGAGCTATGGGGCAGCAAATCCTGATCCCTTAGTCTTACTCGCAACAGAGATGAAGGAAAGAGTAGTTGCATTAACCATATACAAATTAAACTTTCTTAACCCATCGTAAGAACTTCCTTGCCTTTAAATTTCATTCTTTATTGTAGAACTTTCGGCTACTGAGATTAATTCACTAACAAAACGGAGATCCGAGCACAATGTAAAGATTTCCTTGCATTTATTTTGTCTAGTATTACCTAAACAATTCGCATCGTTGCCATGTTCTAATTGCTCTGCTTACAAAAGTGTTCCGTATGTAACATGCTGAGATATCCGCTATTCATCTGTATACCTAGACGCAGTGGTTTGTTATATGTCGCCGTCAGACTGAGATATAAACAATATTTTCCTAACGAAACCATACTGTTATTTTACATTCAACAAAAACAACAATTATCTATACAAAATGTATATGTTTTCAGAAGTCTGTTGTTGTAGGACCCTCCGTTAAATGGCGCTAGTGTCTCTTCCAATCCAAAATTTCGCGTGTTCTCAAAGGTGTTATTATTCATTGTAAAAAATTAAGAAGCAGGATTTAATAATGTCTCCCCCCAGAATGGCATACCGTTCGTCCAGATGTTATGTTGAATATCTGAAGAGTTAAAATGGGGGAAGAGAAGAGGAATTATAAATTCATAAAATTATGTACTTTTCTTAAAGAAAAAATTATGCCAAATACCTTTATCATTATTTACTGATAATATATGTAAGAAATCATAGCAGATTGCAAACTCAGAGTCACTACCTACTTAATTCTGGCTTCTTCCCTGGCTTATTCTTAGACCCTGAGGATGGAGGCGATATGTTCATCCCCTCTTATATCCCACTCTTCATAATCACGGCTGTGAGAACCTCAACCCCTAAGAGTAAGGTTATTCAAACCCGTGTTACGTAAGATAAGGTAAAAGTAAAGCTATCCCTGTAACAGGCCGTGGAGGCCCATAGGGTTACGAGAAGTTAAGGCTCTCACATTTTCTAGAAAATCGGTCCAAACATGGCGGTGAGGTTGTCAACCTTATGTGTTTGCCGCTCTTTAACCCCCCCCCCGAAGTCGCCTGGAACTCATTTCTGTTAGAGGTTGAGTCGACTCCAGGGATATAGTGCGGCTGGAAGGGTTAGGTAAATTGAAAAAGTCAAATTACCTCATAGGAAATCAAACCCGCAACCTTCCTGCGTGTACCATAGCGCCTCAACCAACTGCGCTACTGCGCGCCCCCTCTACAAGTTGTGTGATAAATGTAATTGTGCAGCAGATGTATTCGTAACAATAACAATTAATATTTTCTGTATGTACAAGTAATTCTTGCGAGTTAAAGTTGTCGTGCATGTGGTAATGGTGCGAACAGCTCGTGTCTCTGTGCTCTGTAGAGCGCATGGGCGTTTTGCGGATTCATCACATTTATTTTGGGTGCTTATGTATGGGCTACTTGCCGATCACAGTGGCCGCGCGGTCTAATGCCTGAACTGTCCGCTAGCTCGAACTCTGGAATCGTGGGTTCGAATCCCACTCAAGACATGGATGGCTGTGGGTGTTCATTCTGTGTTTATGTTGTCCTGTGTATATGTAGCGACCTTGTGATGGGCTGATCCCCCGTCCAAGGGGTCCTACCGACTGTGTATAGGATTGAGAACCTGAAAAAAAGGCAAAGGCCCAAGAAAGGGCTGTAGAGCCATAGATGGACATACGGGCAACTTAATGAGATCAGCATTTTGTACTGTTAAATATTCTAAAATATATTATATAGAGTACGAGTGTATAAGAATAAAACATCATAAATTAAAATACAAGAACGCCCTTTGTCAAGGTATGGTACCATAGCGAGATGTAAAGACGAATTGTATTATGTACTCTGAACAGATTTAAACAACTTAACTGCTGAAAACATGAAAACCGTAGAATGAAAACATAATTCCTATATCCAGAATCTTCTGAGGACCTCCATACAAGAATGAATTGTGGCGTGAATCCAACGATGAAGATTTAATTTCATTTCAAAGTTTAAATCTTGACTCTTTTGTAAAGTGTGCACGAGTAAAGAAAAGAGTTAGAATGACATGGGAGTTCAAATTCATGTAAATTGTTAAATACTTGTTTTGTGTTCTCTCCGATTACAAACTTCGTTATGAAGTTTTAGTCTGATGGATCTTTACAAACCTCTCGAGTACCTGTCGTGAATGTGGCTTGTCTAATGTTGTCGTCAAGCAA